TTGGCTCACCACGTGGTTGTTCCTCTGCACCTGAGCCCCCACTGCTAGGCTCCACCAAACGCCAGCCAGACTGGTGGGGCTGCCTGACCTTGAACTGCAATCTGCAATAACCTTTTTCCTTCCCAAGAAGGAATACCCTCTTGGGTATTTTAATCAAAACAAAGCAAAGTTGGCTATTATGAACAGTAAACAAAAATATGGTATATTCCTATAATGGACTATAATTCAATTTTCAAAAAAGAAGAAATTCTGACACATGCTATAATCTGGGTGAAACTTGAATACACCATGTTAACACAGAAGGGATTAAGCTGTGGACAGATGTTATATGCTTCCACTTCTATGAAGTACCCAGCACAGGCAAGTTTATAGACACAGAAAGCAGAACGGTAGGGGCGGACACTGGCACAGTAGGTTAGGCGGCAGCTTGGGATACCTGTATCTCATATCAGAGCACTAGTTCAAATCTCAGCTCCTCCACTTGTGATCCAGCTCCCTGCTAATGCACCCAGGAAGACAGGGGGTGATGGCCCAACTATCTGTGAACCTGCCACCCATGTGAGAGACTCAGATGGAGGTTCAGGTTCCTGGTTTTGGCCTGGGCCAATCCTGGCTGTTGTGGGCATTTGAGGAGTGAGTCAGTAAATGGAGAGCCCTCTGTCACTCTGCCTTTCAAATAGACAAAGAGAAGGAGAGATGGAAAGAGCATGATCTTCCATTCTCTGCTTCACTCCCTAGATGGCCACAATGGCTGCGGTTGGGCCAGGGCAAAGCCAGGAGCCTGGAACTCCACCTGGGTCTCCCACACAGGGGGCAGGGCCCAAGCCCTTGGGCCATCTTCTGCGGATTTCCTATTAGCAGGACACTGTATTGGGAGCCCAACAGCTGGGACCTGAACCACAGCTCATATGGCATTCTGGTGGAGCAAACCATGGCTTAACCCACTGTGCCACAACGCTCGCCCCGTGATATGGTGGCCACTGGGAGAAACCATGTGACGTATACATGGCATCTTTGAACTATTAACTATTTCTTCTTTTTTAAAAAAAGATTTATTTGAAAGGTAGAGTTATGGAGGGGGGTGGAGGGGGAAGGGAGAAACAGAGACAGAGACAGACAGAGAGAGAGAGAGAGAGAGATCTTCCATCTTCTGATTCACTCCCCAAATGGCTGCAATGGCCAGGGTTAGGTCAAGCTGAAGCCAGGAGCCTGGAGCTTCTGTCGGGTCTCCCACGTTGGGGCAGGGGTCCAAACCCTTGGGTCATCCTCCACTGCTTTCGCAGGCCACCAGCAGGAAGCTGGATCAGAAGTGGAGCAGCTGGGTCTTGCCTTCCACTCTGAGTTGATGCAGCCAGAAGGCCCTCACCAGATGCCGTCAGCTCCATGCTGGACTGCCCAGGCTCCAGGACCGTGAGAAATGACGCTTTGGCGTAAGTCCCTGCTCTGGCATTTTGTTATCAGAGCTCCATCTGCAGCATTGAGCCTGTTGATCTGCTCCCAGCAAGGCTTCCTGTGGCAAGAGAAGCCACAGAGGCAGAGGTGGGGTGGGAGGACATGCGGGCCCTTGCCAGCCCACTTCCAGGCTCTCTCTGTCTCGGGGACAGCAGGAGGTGCTTTGGCTGGGCTCCTGCACGCTGCACCATCTTGTCCTGGGCCCCTTGGGTAGCTCAGAGGTTTAATGCTTGGTCTCTACAGGTACTGGTTCCTCCTGAAGCATCTTCAGCATTCTTTGCCTGTGTCACCTCCTCCAGGAAGCCTTCCTTGTGTCTCCCAGGCCAGACTCCTGTGCCCCTCAGCACAGCACTGTCCCCCTCTATCCAGGCGAGGCTGCTGCTGGTGAGTGCGCAGTAGGAACGAAGCGGTGTCTGGCTGCCTGGAGAGGGGAAAGACGGTGAAATGAAGTCTACTCCGGATGGACAGGCGCAGGAAGATGCCTCTTCTTGGTGCTGGCTCTGTCTTGAGGGTGGATGAGCACAGGAGCCAGCCTCCCTGGCTCCAAATCCTGGCACCACCACGAGCCAGCACGTGGCCTTGGGCCTTAGCCTGAATAGAAAAACAGAGCCCAAGCCGCAGGGCATGCAGGGACCACAGGGTTGCTCTCACCACGATTTACTTCCCTCTGCTTCCCTGTCTGCCCGGACTGTCACACCTGCTGTGCGCGCCCTAGGATTGCAGGTGTAGGTTCCTCTCTTAGGACTTCCCACCCTGTACTTACACATTCAGCCATGGCATTGTTCATGCATTTATCCAAGAGATGCAGAGAGACAGCAGGACAGACAGTCCCATCTGCTGCTTCACTTCCTAAAGGTCTGTAATGGCCCCGGCCACATGGGACCTGAAGCCAGGAGCCAGGAACTCAATCTGGGTCTCCCACGTGGGTGGCAGGGCCCCAAGCATCTGACTCATCCCCTCCCTGGGTCTGCCGGAAGGTGGAATCGGAAGTCAGAGCTGGGAGTGGAACCCAGATCTCGGATTTGGGACTCTGGCCGACTTAACCTCCGGGCCAATGCCTAATCCCATGCATGAAATTATTGAGTGATGCATTTAAAAAAAAAGATTTATTTCTGTATTTGAGAAGCAAAGTTACAGACAGAGAGAGGGAGAGACGGAGAGAGAGGTCTTCCATCTGCTGGTTCACTCCCCAAATGGCCACAACGGCAGGAGCTGGGCCAATCAGAAGCTCCGAGAAATGCATTTTTTTTTAGAAAACCTTTTTACTCACTTATTCTTTTAACACTTTCATTTTTTTTTTCACTTTATTTAGAAAGCAGAGAGACAGAGATGGAGAGATCTTTCATCCACTGGTTCATTCCTCCAAAGCCCACAGCAACCAGGGCTGACCCAGGCTGAAGCCCGGATTCAGGGACTCGAAGCAGGTTTCCCACGTAGCTGTCAGGGAATCCAGTACTCGAGCCACTACCTGCCACCTCCCAGCATGCGCGTTAGCAGGAAGCTGGTTTGGAAGTGGAGCCGAGACTCGAACCTGGCACTCTGCTCTGGGATGTGGGTGTCCCAGCTGGCCTCTTAACCATTGTGCCAAATATGAGAATTATTTAAAAGGCAGAGAGACACACAGATCTATCTGATGGTTCACTCCCCAAATGCCTGCAAAAGTCAGGGCTGGGCCAGGCTGAAGCCGGGAGCCAGGAACTCCACCCAGGTCTCCCTGGTGTACGGCAGGGACCCAGATACGTGAGCCATCACCGGCAGCCTCCCAGGGCCTGCACAAGGAAGAGGGTAAAGTCGAAACCAGGTACTCGGATATGAGAAGCAGGCAGCTTAACTGGCGTGGTAACCACCAGGCCAAACGCCTGTCCAGAGAACTGCGTCTTTTGGTACCACGGAGCAGCAGGCCAGGGTCACAGCTCTGGGGGGAGACATGATTAAATTCTAAAAAGGAGCCAGTTTTGAATGAAGGTCCCAGCGAAGGCAGGGAAGGTGGCCAGGCTCCTCCTTCCTGGGTCATTTGATGCAAGGACGCTAACCCCGGGAAGCCCCTCGGGGCATGGATGTTGTCACCTGCCCCTCTCCTCCCCCTCTGCAGAGAATCTGGACCAAAAGAGGCTCTTAGGATCTCTCCGGAAATGTTCTGGGTGCATGAGTTGGGTCAGCTTAGGTTTGAGTTCTCCAAAGATGGAGACCGCACCAGGGCTCAGGGGGTGCACGGATCCTGCTCCGCCCACCTGACAGTGACTGATTGCCCCGTCTCCTGCCTCTCCTGCCCTGTGGCGCTCTCGCCTCCCACTCTCCTGCTTCTCCGCATGCCTTGCTCATGGCCTCTGCACCTGCTGTTCCCTCTGCTTGCCTTGCTTGTCCTGCCGTTCTCCAGAGTTCCTGATCGTTTAGGTCTCGGCTCAACTGAGATCCTAGGGAGGCCTTCTCTGAAGTCCCCACCCCACCCCCTCTGGCCCCGCAGCCTCGGTCTTCCATCTTTCCTGTCAGCGTCAGAGGTGTTGTGCAGGAAATGGTGACTGCACACTTCCCCAGTACCTGTAAGCTGCACAGTGACCGGGCTCAGAATAATCCTGGCGCACACGAGGAGCCTGCTATCTGTCGGCTGCCAGAGTGAATGAGAATTTACCAGGGGCCAGCGCTGTGGCGTAGTGGGTAGGGCCACCATCTGTGGCACCGGCATCCCATACAGGAGCTGGTTCGTGTCCCGGCTGCTCCACTTCTGATCCAACTCCCTACCAATGCTCCTGGGAAAGCAGTGGAAGATGGCCCAAGTGCTTGGGCCCCTGCACCCACGTGGGAGACCAGCAAGAAGCTCCTGGCTTTGGCCTGGCCCAGCTCTGGCCATTGTGGCCATTTGGGGGAATGAACAAGTGGACGGAAGATAATCTCTCTCTCTGTAACCCTGCCTTTCAAATAAAAATTTAACCTATTGAGTTGTGCCTTCCAATGTAGTAGTTGCTAGCCACATGTGGCTATTTAAATCTAAGATATGGAGTAGGAGATGGGATAGTTTGCAGATGGCAGAGAGGTTATGGGGGGGAACCACTATAATCCTAAAGTTGTACTTTTGTTTTTTTTTTTGTTGTTGTTTTTAAAGATTTATTTATTTATTTGCAAGTCAGAGTTACACAGAGAGAGGAGAGGCAGAGAGAGAGAGAGGTTTTCCATCTTCTGGTTCGCTCCCCAGTTGGCTGCAACGGCCAGAGCTGCGCCGATCTGAAGCCAGGAGCCAGGAGCATCTTCCGGGTCTCCCAGGCAGGTGCAGAGGTCCAAGGACTAGGGCCATCTTCTACTGCTTTTCCAGGCCATAGCAGAGAGCGGGATTCGAAGTGGAGCAGCTGGGTCTTGAACCAGCGCCCATATGGGATGCTGGCGCTTCAGGCCACGGCGTTAACCAACACTGTGCCACAGCGCCGGCCCCTAAAGTTGTACTTTTGAAATTTATATTTATTAAATAAAAGTTTTCTTAAAAAATAAATAAATCTAAGACAACTAAAATGAAATAGAACTCCAATACTCCAATTCCTCAGTCTGGTCCACCATACTTTTTTTTTTTTTTTTTAAGATTTATTTATTTATTTGAAAGGCAGAGCTACAGAGAGGCAGAGAGAGAGGTCTTCCATCTGCTGGTTCACTCCCTAAGTGGCTGCAATGGCCAGAGCTGGGCTGATCTGAAGCCAGGAGTCAGGAGTTTCTTCTGGGTCTTCCACACGGGTACAGGGGCTCAAGCACATAGGCCGTCTTCTACTGCTTTCCCAGGAGCATTAGCAGGGAGCTGGATCGGAAGTGGAGCAGCCGGGACTAGAACGCTCCCATATCGAATGCCAGCACTGCAGGCGGTGGCTTTACCCGCTACACCACAGCACTGGCCTCTTACCACACCTTAGGTGCTCAGTGCCCACACATGTGGGTGCCTACCATACTGGACATCACAGATGTCAAATTTCCATCACCGCAGCTGGACACTGCTGCTCCAGACCATGAGCCTGGGTCACAGCCTCCACTTCTTTCCTTGCTTGCGACATTGCCTCTGCCAGGAATTCTTTATCTGACCCTTAGTAAAAATCTTATCCACATTGAATTTGGCAATCTGGTAACATAACACAAAAGTCTTTTTTTTTTTTTTTTTCCCAAAGGCAGAGTGGACAGTGAGAGAGAGAAAGAGTCAGAGAGAAAGGTCTTCCTTTTTCTGTTGGTTCACCCCCAATGGCTGCTCCAGCAGCGCACTGTGGCCAGCGCACAGCGCTGATCCGAAACCAGGAGCCAGGCGCTTCTCCTGGTCTCCCATGCATGTGCAGGGCCCAAGGACTTGGGCCATCCTCCACTGCACTCCTGGGCCACAGCAGAGAGCTAGACTGGAAGAGGAGCAACCGGGATAGAATCCGGCGCCCCGAACGGGACTAGAACCCGGTGTGCTGGCGCCACAAGGCAGAGGATTAGCCTAGTGAGCCATGGCGCCGGCCACACAAAAGTCTTTAAATCAATTTAACAATCCCCCTTGTCAGAATGAATCCCTGATGAAATAGTGGTTGATAGATGCCAAGATTCAGCCACAAGGATGTTCAATGTATCCATTGCTCCTAACAAGGGAGATTGGTTAAGTTAATGTACAGTCATGAAAAATGGAAGACTGTGTAATGATATGGAAATATTTTTAAAACATATTGTTAGATAAACACAGCCAGTTACCCGTAGAAGAAGTTACTAAATACAGAGAACTGGGGTGAACTCTAGGGAACCTAGGGTCTAGGGTCTGGAAACTTTCCAGAATGTAACAGAGAATGCAATCAGCAGCCACGGAGGAGCAGCGAGCCTTTCATTTCTGCTAAGAACTAAGGCTTCCTGGAGCTGTAAAGACCAAGGCGATCCACAGAGAAGCGTTTGACAAAGCACCCGCTGGACCACCCCACCGCTTCCTGGCTCAGGGCGGGGTGGCCCAGGGAGGTGGCCCCAGCGCTAACGCTGGCTGCCTCCAGGCAGGGAGACCGACAGACTTCGCTTCCTTCTCTTGCTTTACCTCGCTTTTCTGAGTTTTCTCTAATACGCGCTTCTCTTTGAAATAGGGAGGGGACAACAGGAAAAATTTAAAACTTGCTCTGCATCACCCTTGCGGGCATCCGCGCCTGGGTCCCTTCGCGCACGCGCGCACGGCTCCTCCCGGGTCCCGGTGGAGGGATGGGGGAGGAGGAGGGCGCCCTCTACTCTTTGGGACTGAGCCCGCATCCAGCCCGGTGGAAACAGCCGCTGTCCTGAACGGATCGACTCGAACCAGGAGCCCCTGGAGGTCCGCAATGTTTGGGGGGGGGGGTTCCTGTTTGTGGGAGAGACAGAGCATGAGAGTTGGAGACTTGGGAGACACCCGAGGTGAAGGGCAAGGCCCATGGTGGTCCACGTCCCCTCTCCCACAGCCCCCATCCCGTCATGGGTTCTTTTTTGGGGAGCTGGGAGTGAGGACACCTCGGCATGGCCGCCGGCTTCGCTAGCTGCCGACTGTGTCTCTATACCTTTCTGGGACTCTATTTTCCTATCTATAAAATGGGGATAATGATGACACAAGCGTCTGGAAAGAAAGGCTGTTCCTATTGTTAGCCCAAGACAAGAGCCGCCCCCGCCTAGTCCGCCCCCGCGCCGCCGGCGCCGGGCTCGGGGTCCAGCGAGCGGAAGGGGCTGGGCCGGTGCGAGGAGCGGAAGGCGGGCCCGGGCGGGCGGTGCGGGTCGAAGGGGCCGAAGAACTCGGCGGCGAAGGTGACCACGTCGCGGGGCTGGCGCAGCAGCAGGAAGAGCAGGAAGTCGGAGAGCAGCGCCCGGGCGTCGGGGTGCTGCCGCAGGTAGGCGCTGTGGCTGGTCCGCAGCTCCTCCTGCGGGGGCAGGCCGGGCCTGAGCCCTGGGTGGGCCCACCAGCCCCCCACCCCGAGACAGGTCGGGAGCGGTGCACTTGGTGGCCTCCCGGGGCCAGTGGAGACCCCGGGCTGGCGGCGGCCGCTGCTCACCTTGCGGTGCAGGAACTTGGAGTGGAGCTGCAAGTCGTCCTCCCACACCAGGGGCTTCTTTTCGAACACGGGCGGAGGCTCGATTTCGTCTGGGTGGGGAGGGGGGAGGCTGGGTGTTCCCCACCGCAGAGCCTTCCTCTGGTCCATGGGGGCATCCGAGGACAGGCCCAGCAGAGGGCCTCTTGCCCTCCCGCTGGGGCCAAGGTCCTGGGAAAAGTCAGCCCCGCCTCCGGGAAAGCCCCACCCCCCCAGCCTCTCCCACGGGTGCCTTTCGCTCACCCTCCTCCCTCAAGATGGGCATCTTGGTGATGATGCAGCAGCCGGCGGAGCCGATCTGGACTCTCTTGGCCAAATGCCTGGGGGCAACACACGGAAGCATCCTCCTGGGCGCATGCTGGGACCGAGCTGTGCCCTCCCCGGCTGCGGCTGCACCGCTGGGGCTTGTAGCTCTCTTTGGGGAGGTTATTAAAGCTAAATGAGGTCATGTGGGCAGGGCATTCGAGAGGATTGATGTCTGCATTTAATCAGAGGTGCTGGAGCTGGCTGCGGAAGGCGTGTGTGGCCCCAGTGAGGAGGCGGCCACTGGGGAGCTGTGGCCTGCAACCAGCCCTGCTGGCGTCTTGCCCTTGGCCTTGCGCCCTCCAAAACCGGGAGGACATTCATTTGGGTCGTTTCAGTGGTCCAGTCTGTGGAGTTTTGTTATGGAAGCCTGAGCAGCTTCGTGTAGCGCCGAGACCTCCTGAGCCCGGGCCTGGGGGCCTCTGTGTACTGCTGCCTCCCTCTCTTGTCTTTGCAGTTCCTGGTGTTCATTCTGGGCCCCTAGATAACGGTCCAAGGCTTGCCTTAGGCCTTTGCTTTTTTTTTTTTTTTTTTTTTTTTTTCTTAAAAACTCAGACTGGGGCCAGGGCTGTGGCACAGAGGGTGAAAACCCTGGCCTGTTGCATTTCTGATCCAGCTCCCTGCTAATGAGCCTGAGAAAGCAGCGGAAGATGGCCCAGGGGCATTTCTGATCCAGCTCCCTGCTAATGAGCCTGAGAAAGCAGCGGAAGATGGCCCAGGGGCTTGGGACCCTGCACCCGTGTGGGAGACCCAGAGGAAGCTCCTGGCTCCTGGCTCCTGGCTTCGGATCGGCCCAGCTCTGGCCATTGCAGCCATTTGGGGAGTGAACCAGCAGATGAAAGACCTCTTTCTGTCTACCTCTCTCTGAAACTCTTTCCTTCCTTCCTTCCTTCCTTCCTTCCTTCCTTCCTTCCTTCCTTCCTTCCTTCTTTCCTTCTTTCCTTCTTTCCTTCTTTCCTTCCTGATTTATTTATTTATTTGAAAGGCAGAGTTACAGAGAGGCAGAGAGGCAGAGAGAGGTCTTCCATCCGCTGGTTCACTCCCCAGATGGCTGCAATGGCCAGAGCTGTGCCAATCTGAAGCCAGGAGCCAAGAGCTTCTTCCGGGTCTCCCACGTGGGCACAGGCCCCCAAGGCCTTGGGCCATCTTCTGCTGTTTTCCCAGGCCATAGCAGAGAGCTGGATTGGAAATGGAGCAGCCAGGGCTAGAACCTGTGTCCATATGGATGCCAGCACTGCAGGTGGCGGCTTCACCCGCTACACCACAGCGCCGGCCCCAACTCTTTCAAATAAATGAAGTAAATCTTAAAAAAGAAAAGAAGAACTCCAGCCCTCTTGATGTGTGAGCAGTAAACCATCCCGGACGCCGGTGTTCCACCCAGCAGCTGAGGTGCCTGCATCCCCATCCGGATGCTGGGTCGGGATCTCCGCTCAGGTTTGCTACTGCAGCCTCCTCCTAATGGGACCCCTGGGGGGCAGCCAGCGATGGCTCATTTTGGGTTCCACATGGGGGGAGACCTCCATTGCGTTCCCAGGCAGGAACCAGGGATTGGGAACTCTGTCTCAGTGTCTCTCAAATTAAAAGCAAACACTGCACACGACTCCTGGTGCCTCCTGCTGTGAGGCGCTCAGAGTAGAAGCATGCTAAGCTGTGAAATCAGGAAAGCCAGCAACAACAGGACTTTGTTCCCAGAGTGGTGACCAGCTCAGTGCCTCTTCTGAAATTTCAAGAAACAGATTGCTCTCCCTCACCCACAGGCGCGCACGCTTAGGTGCCAGGGCGCTGCAGGTGCCAACTGGGCAGGGTGCCAGGGTCATGTGGGTGTTGGTCAGTCTCCCCCCAAACACCGTGGCATTGGCCTTGGCTCAGCCAGCCAGGGCCGCCTGGTGAGAAAGGGTTGGGAGACATGGTGAGGAAACGAGGGTGAGTGAGCGAGTGAAGAGAGGGCGAACTGTGTGGATCAAGCCTGGGGGATGCTCGGATCTTAATGGTGACCCTTCCTGGCGGCTTCCCTAGAAATAGCCAGGCCCTTCCCCACTGCTCCACTGAGCACCTGCTGCTGTGCCAGGCACTCCCTCCCAGGTTCCCCCCCCTCATCAGAGCTCACCCATCGGAGAACATGTAGAACTGCCAGGACATGGGGATGCCCTCTTCCGAGTGCACCGTTTGCTCCACGATGAACGCGGGGGCCTGCTGCCGGCCCACCTGGATCGTCTGGAAGCCGAGGGCTTGCTGGCCCCGGCCGAGGGGGAGGGAGACGGCGTGAGATGAAAGCCCTCCCCGTCTCCCCCACCCCACCCCCTCCTCCTCCTCCTCCTCACGCTTCTTGTTCACCACTGGTTAGCAGCCTGTGGCTGCTCAGACCCACAGGAGCCACAAGATTCGAGCTGCACCCCCCAGCTGCGTTGGGGACCCCCTCATGGGGGGGTCATCTTCTGAGTGCTTCTAGTTGGTAGATTCCATTACGGGGGGCGGGGACTAGGGTGGGGTGGGGGTCTGTCCCAGGAAATGGGCTGTTGGGGGGAAGCTGTTGGGCAGCAAGGCTCAGAGGGGTGGGACTAGCTTGGGCTTTGTGACGCCTCTGGCTTGGGCTGCCCTTAGCAGGCTGCCTTGTCGTGAAAGCTTAGCCCTCATTGAGGCTGCAGCCCAGCAGAAAGTCTGGGAGAAGATGGGGGCGGGTGGCCCGGGCTTGTTGGTGTTAAACACATGGCTGGCTGCCCCTTGTGTCATGAAAACAAGACTAGAATGTCATCCACAGGGCTGGTCAGCGCCAGAGAAATTAGCCCCAAGGTGTCTTACTGGAAAAGGCATATGTTCAGAGATGCAGCCCCGAAATCACATAGTCTGAGAAGTCCTAGGCTTGCGGGCTGTGAAGTTTTCCCCCCAAACAAAGGAAAACTGGAATACCCTTTAGGGTTGGGAAATAATAAGAGAATACTGAGGCCGGCTCTGCGGCTCAATAGGCTAATCCTTCGCCTGCGGCACCAGCACACCGGGTTCTAGTCCCGGTTGGGGTGCCAGATTCTGTCCCGGTTGCCCCTCTTCCAGGCCAGCAATCTGCTGTGGCCTGGGAGTGCAGTGGAGGATGGCCCAAGTGCTTGGGCCCTGCACCCCAGGGGAGACCAGGAGAAACACCTGGCTCCTGGCTTCGGATCAGCGTGGTGCGCCGGCCGCAGTGGCCATTGGGAGGTGAACCAATGCAAAAGGAAGACCTTTCTCTTTGTCTCTCTCTCTCTCTGTCCACTCTGCATGTCAAAAAAAAAAAAAAAAAAAAAAAAAAAGGCGAGAATACTGAAGTGGATTGGAGATGTTGCACTTCCTGATGTTAAAGAGTGATGTCTTGGGGTTGGTGTTGTGGTGTGGCAGATTAAACCTCTGTCTATGATGGCAGATATCAATAGGGGCAGGTTTTATAACCAGGCTGGATATTTGTGATCCAGCTGCATTGCTAAGCACAGGACAAGGAGAGAAGACGGCCCAACTCACTGGGACCCCTAGCACCTAATCCCAGGA